TACAAAAAGGGATAACCTTATAGTTAACATTATATACAGACAAAAAACAGTTAAAAGTGCTAAATGAAAGAGACAGACATAACACATATGATTTGATAGATATAGTGGTTGTAAAGTAGTGGAGAAATCAAAAGAGGAAAGACATTAGAGATGAAAAAATATCACAAAATATCAGAAATGCCAATAATATTGCTATAGATTTCTGGGCACAAATCACTTACACATATATTTTCTATGTGTTTATTATATGGTTTATAATAAGTGACAAAATGTAATAAATAAGTTTGCCTTCAAATCGACTATAAAAGGAAATGGCTGTACATTTGGTGTGCATTGACTGTATATTACGGACTCTGATTCCCAAAAAAAATCGTATATATTTCTCTGTAAAAAATAGCAAAACTTTATTTCAAAACATCTCATTGATGTACAGTGTGTTAGTCAACCAACACTTGATTGTACTTATAGTTTGATATCAAGTTTGAAACACAGAAATCTCTCTCTTTCTCTCTCTCTCTCTCTCTCTCTCTCTCACACACACACACACACAAACACACACACACACACACACACACACACACACACACACACACACACACACACACAAACAACACATACTCCCACAACGAACCATAAAATACATTATTATTACTTTAGGGACTCATGAGTTTGAAGCTGAGCGCACAAAACTAGTCTGAACCTAACCTACCCTAACCTACCCTAACCTTCACTCTTTTTAGTTTTTGAAATTTTTTTGAGTGTTTGAGTATTTGGATGTGAAGAAAATAAGGACTCAAAAATAGGAGATCATCTCATCTACCATTACTACTAAGTGTCGTTCCCTAAGGATATCTTTTTTTTGTAGAAATGCATTATAAATACTATAAATGTATAATGTTTAATATAATAGACACATTCAATATATACTATATACTGTATATATATATAACACAATGACTTTCACATTAAAAAGCTTAAGTATGAGATGAGATGACCCACTCTTTACAGATGAAACACAAACTCATTGTTTTGTGAGCCGTTTTTGAGTGCTTTTATCAAACAAAAAGCATTCAAATACCATATCATACCGTAACCCACCCTCACTGTCATCCATATCCCTCTTTCGACCCCTTATTCACATTTGTCTCGACTCTCCTCTACAATAGGAGTTCGCATTAATCTTATTATTTGTGAGTGACTTCTCTCTCTCTCTCTCTCTCTCTCTCTCTCTCTCTCTCTCTCTCTCTCTCTCTTCTCACTCACTGTTTTTCTCCTCATTGCCCAAACTATCACATTCACTAATAGGCCGATCTTAAGCTATAGTAATCTCACCCAAATCTCTCACAAATGACAAAAAATATTATTAAAACAATATTAATGAACTAAAATAATATTGTTTGCTCTCTTAACCAAATAAAAAGTGTCCATTACTTGGATATATCAAATGTAAAAATTAATAGCAAATTAATTATTGGATACTGCAAACATCATCAATTACAATTATTTCAATTGACCATTAAATAGATATATTTTGGGCAATATTGACCAGATTAAATATTTAAATACTGCATAACAATTATTGTAGCTATTATTTTATATACTGTAAAAATTATAATAAGATAATGTTACAAATAATTTAAATAATTTATTTAGTAAAAATATGTATATAAATAAATAATATTACATCGAAAACAATGCTATGACACTGTATTAAATAATAATTTTGATATTAATATTCTCAACTGGTTTTTAAATTTTTTTGATATCCAAAGTTATATAATATTATAATACTTTACTGTATCATTATTTAATAATGTATAAAACAGTCGGTATCTAATTATTAGACGTCCATTTTATAAACATTACTTATGATTAAAATTAAAATAAAAAATCTATAATATTATATAATTGTAATATTACTAAATACTAATAATATACGAATTTAGTTCATATGATTCAAACTCCGAATATTATTTTACTATTGATTGTTATTTTTATATCTTTAATTAAAATGTTTAGAGTTTAAGAAAATACAATTAAGTTGATATCAATATTAGTAATTTAGGTTTTCTAGCATTTAAGTAATGTATTGAGTAATTGTTTAGCAATTTTTGTTTTAAATATTTGTTTTAATTAGTTTATAAATGTCGTTAAAACATTTGTGCCTTGATGAAATTTAAAATAGAATTTATTGTTGATTGAAAATTTTAATTTTCATCTATTATTTGAATGAAAAATTGTAAATAAGAATTAGAAAATAAATAAAAAATATTATTGGTGTCAAAAATGCTATTTAGATTTGTGACCAAAAATTACTTATGATGTGTCGCTTTCAAGCATTTTTACTATTATGTAATAATAATAATAATAAATGCTATTTTTTGTTAAACTTATACAGTATTATGCTACATATTATAATATAAATATATATATATATATACTGTATATAAAAAAAATCACATGAATTACAATGCAATTGACTGAATTAGATAATGTTTTTTCATATAAAGTTGAGTAATATTAAAGTGAAATAAACTATAAAAGAGTTTGCATTTGAATGATTGGCTGACGATATTGAAGCTAAAAGATAGTATTGTCTGACATCAAGTAAATGGATTGCAAGTACTGCCAGAAGTTTTTTTTAAAGTGAATACAAAATGATTTATATTTATTACAATCTCAACCCTAACAGCAATTGATTTATTACTGTTTATTGTCATACAATTTACTTATTTTTTATTTATCCATATATTTAATGATATTTTTGCCATCAAAGTATTATTTAATTTTTATGAACATTATTTCAAATTTATTATATCTTATTTTTCTTAATATGTACCAAATATTTTTATAATATAATAATCATAAATTCTAAATAATAATATTAAAGAAAATATTAAAATAATAATAAATAATATTTTAAAATACAAAAGTTTTATATAAAATATCTAATTAAATTAAATTTATAATCTAACTTTATTTGATATAAAAATATAAAAAATATTTTGAATCTATAAATTATAATTATAATATATAGTGAATAAATAGGGGTTTCAAATAGTAATACATTTGATATGTCAGCACATTATTTGAGGACCACTTTACACATGAATGACATACACCCGTGTAATCTTCAAACATATTACAGATATTTTACGAGTTTTTGTTTAACATTATATGAGAACCAAAGCATCTGTCCTTAAAACAAGTAGAGATTACATCTATTGAATCCAATCTACCAGTGCTGTGGTTCTCCTATACATCGTATTTATCAATACTATTATACAAAATATTTTAATATATTTAATATAAAATATAGTAAATATTGAATTTTTTAACATTCATTATTGTATATCACATATAACTTTCATTCAAATTATGTATTAACTAATAAATTAGGAATACTTTTTGTATATATATATATATATATATATATATATATAATTTATATATGATAATAGTATAAATTTAGTATATCCTAAAATGTGTTTATTTTTTAATATCATATTAACAAAAGTTAGTAGATTTAATGAAATACATGCAGTAAATGAAACGATTGGTTTCATAATGCTTTCAAACACTCAAAATGTATTATATATATACTCATTGTATTTGATGTACTTTTTATAGGTAAAAGACTTAGATTTTATAAATACAGTCGGTTTATATCGATTAATGCATCACTAACTCCAACTCCAACTCTACTTCAGATAAAGTGTGTATATCTGAGAGAAAGAGAGATGAATTGCACGGTTGACTGTCACTATTATAGTAAAAGACAGGTAACTATAGTTTTATTATCATTGTTGAGCATAAAAGCAAAAAGGTTTTGATCCGATAACGAGCGTCAGCGTCACGAACACAGATCTGTACCAACATTTCAATACCAATCAGTGCCCACGTATTGTCTACTTTGTATCAGCACTTGTATGTCATACAGCCATGTAGTCGCTCTTTCTTAGTGTGTGTGTGTGTGTTTGTGTGTGTGTGTGTGTGTGTGTGTGTGTGTGTGTGTGTGTGTGTATGTATGTATGTATGTATGTATGTATGTATGTATGTATGTATGTATGTATGTATGTATGTATGTATGTATGTATGTATGTATGTATGTATGTATGTATGTATGTATGTATGTATGTATGTATGTATGTATGTATGTATGTATGTATGTATGTATGTATGTATGTATGTATGTATGTATGTATGTATGTATGTATGTATGTATGTATGTATGTATGTATGTATGTATGTATGTATGTATGTATGTATGTATGTATGTATGTATGTATGTATGTATGTATGTATGTATGTATGTATGTATGTATGTATGTATGTATGTATGTATGTATGTATGTATGTATGTATGTATGTATGTATGTATGTATGTATGTATGTATGTATGTATGTATGTATGTATGTATGTATGTATGTATGTATGTATGTATGTATGTATGTATGTATGTATGTATGTATGTGTGTGTGTATGTATGTATGTATGTATGTATGTATGTATGTATGTATGTATGTATGTATGTATGTGTGTGTGTGTGTGTGTGTGTGTGTGTGTGTGTCTAACAATTTTTAAGACACAATCCATAAGTACTCAAATTTTGAACATTTTTTTCAATCGACATTCAAACCATTGATTTCTTTATCAGTAATGTTGTGTGCATTTTACAAAATCAGATGACATTTTAAATCTAGTTTTATACCAATTTATCCAAAAGTGACAATAATAGCAAAATAAATCAGTTTTCATGTTTTTAATGTCCATATGACTCAAGTTTTATAGATATGATATCATATAATATAAGAAAAATTATTTTTATTATTTATATGCAAATACATTATTATAAAATTACGGTATTATTTTTTTATAAAATATTAATTTATTTTATTTACTTGATTGAAAAAATAAATATTTGAGTTGTATAACATAAATTGAGGTAAATTGTAAAAATATAAAATCAAATATAATCTCTTTGTATATATTCACAAATATTTATAAAATGTCATTTAATGTTGATTTGAGAGGAATGCTTCTAAAGCTAATGTAAAGCTATGTCTGGCTTTACCACAGTTAGTATTACTTGAGTTTTCCAATTGTGTTTTAATGACGTCCAACAATACAGACAAATCATTGTTAAAACTAAAATCTTTAAATGACTCATAAATTGCCCGAAAAGAGGGCTGTTTTTCATTTAAAAAGACTCCGCGATTGCCATGAATTATACGGACACCAGTTTGTTCGGCAGGTTTACAGACCCGGGTATAAATGCAATGGTCGGGTCGGTAATTCCAATCACAGGTAAATATGTATAATTTGTCTACAAATACAAATATGATTAGCTTTGACAAATATGATATATTCAATATATCAATAAATAATAAAAAACCTGAATTATAATGAAAAATAATATTAATGATATCCTGATCACCCCATACTATATTGTGCTTATATAACGAAAGATATGGCTCTAAATAGTCAGTCCAACCAAAAGTTCTCATTCGTGTCAAATTCATAAGCATTACACCAGAGTTAACGCCAAGTCTCTCGACATACGGGTGTTTAGCAAACCTATGATACCAACTGCTAGCAAAGTCTTCACTTTCGGGAGACATTGCAGCCATTTGTGAACTATTCATGCTTTGAAATAAAGTCCAGATTTGATCAATCGGTGTCAAAAATAAAACATCGGTATCAACGTAGAGGACTGAGTCTATGTCCTTTAAAATTGTCTTAATAAACACAAATCAAATATTATTATCAAATAAAATAAATTATTAATTAATTGAATTACTGGTAAAAATAGTCTCTGAGCGGCACATAATTTAAACAATTTTCTCCATTCCTCAGCATTCAGTGTATTAGGAAATGAAACCAAATGTATCTCAAATGATATTCGACTTAAGATATGTTTTGGCCATTCAGTCAATAACTATAAAACAAATTACCGTAAGATATGAATGAAAACAAAATTTAGCGATTAATCAAAATATTAAAATTACAAATTGTCTTATAATCTGTCGGTTGTCTTCATCTGTCATTATTATGAAATGAAGTCTACTTTCAGTGAGAAGAGCTGCAGACTTAAGTGTTACAAGACTTTGTTGTAGTGTTTGATTACCACAGACTGTAATCGCAATCTTCATCGTATGTCCGCTATATCCACCATATCTTCAATAAGATAATTGTCATCAATATTATGATAATATATATATATATTATACAAAATTATCAATAAATACCTAATGACACGATTCTTATCTTCAAAGTTGTCTAAAAACTGAAAATCTTCGTTAATTTGATTATCACTTTTGAGATCAATTATCGGTGTTACGACTTTATAGTCGTTGACATCATTTAAGTCATAAATGTTTTGATTTAATTTCGGATCATTTTTACTATCATCTGATTTGAGACCATTGGTTGCGGAAGACGTTTCAATGAGCTTTTTGTTGACCACTTTATGGCTAATTGTGACGACAAAGACATAAATGAAGATCAATAGCAAAACCGTTACTTTCATATAAACGACAACTTTATTGTTGTTATTAAATATAACAAATCGCATCAATTTCTTGAAAATCATCGCTAAACCAATTGATCCTCTTTTTCATCATATGTTTAATCGTTTCATTACTGTTGATGTCTTCTTCAATAATACAACTTTTGATGATTTGTTTCAATAATTTATTTTATATCACATTAAGTGATCCATAAATGCTATGATATGTTGAATCAGGTGTTCAATGAATAAACAATTGGATTAATCAATGCATCGATCAATCAATTGATTTGTTATTGCATTTCAAATATAATATACTATTTGTCAACAAATATCAGATGACATCATATGTTAGCCAACCCTTCACTTCATAAATACTATTACTGTAAACACACTTCTCTTTGTTCATCAATCGACTCAATGGCGACCCCTTTAAACATATATTAATATTAATACTAAACTTATTGATAAAAGCGCTGAATTCAAAATTATTAACTAATATAAATAATATTATATTATAATATTAATAATTAATAGAAAATAACAAATAATTTATATACAGTTTATTAGTTAACTTTATTTATTAATAGAAAAAATAACAATAAAATACAAAATCAATTAACGCTATAAAATGCAAGTTTTTGCATCAACTTATCGTTAACTAAAATACCATTTCTCGATAATTGAGACAATAATTGCTGATTTGTATCATTTCCTTCAACAATATTTCTAATGGCAAATATAGACCATTGCATTATATATGGATTTTTGGCGTCAATATTACAACAATCGAGTATCACTGGTATGCCATCAAACTCTCGGACCCAGTCTTGCATTTGTTGACATTTAAAGACCAAATTCCCAATAATTCGGATTAAATCACGTTTGAAACCAAAGACAGGATTCTGTGCTTCGCAATCACTTTCGTTGATTTGTCTCAAATGAGGTATTTCTTTAAAATGAGAGTTTTCTTGTGTTTTGGACAACAATTGAATAGTTTTCAATGTATGGACCAAACACTCTAACAATTGTCTATCGCATTGCAATCGTAACAAAAGTGGTTCAATAGTTGTTATTTCACATAAAACTGATAACATTTTCGAAACGTGTATTGTTTTGTATTTAATTTCTTCTTGAATTTGATTATCATTTGTTTGGGAATCAATTTCATAGATATTGGAAATGTCTTGTTTGAATAGTTGACACAAATAGTCGATATTATTATCATTTAAATTGTTGGCATTAAATTGTTTATCACTTTTAATAAACTCATACATTATATCCAAAATTAATATTTTTTGCTGAATTTGAAATCTATTATAAAAATAAGTCATAAAATTATTACAACTGAAAAACAATTGCAAAGTCCAGAGACACCATTCAGAACCCGAGTTATGAATTACTTTTAAAAGTAAGTCTAAAATATTTAAAATTTTTGTCAAATCTTCATTTTTCTCAAATATTTTAACCATAATATTAAGGTTTTTGTGAAGACATGAGTATAATATCATACTTGAAATCAATATTATACTGTCGTCGCCCTTAAAGTCTAACAAATAACTAAATAATAAAAAAGATAACTTTAATAACAAAATCAATGATAATTTGATAAACAATTAAATAATGAATACCTAAACAAATCAAAGGCAAACAATGACCACAACTTGTCTTTAATATGAATCAAATCTTGATTCGTGTCATTCAAACCACTCAATAAATTACCGAAGAATTGTAAACAACATTTCATAGTTTGAATCAAATCTTTTCTATTAATACCGGCATCGATGGTATCTAATGTCTCAATACTCTTATAATTACTAATCAATTGATTAAATATAGAAAAACTGGTTTCAAGAATAGATCCATTGGTGATAATTTGCATTTTATTAGCAAAACAGTCAACCAATGAATTTCTCAAAAGTCGGAACAATTGAGTCAATACTTGACGACATTCTTCATGAGTTAAGAGGCAATTGTCTTGAAGTGTCATTTCATGTCCTATTTTGGTCAATAATGAAGACATCATCTGCCAGTTGTTGTGACTTTGGCTCAGATTTAAACGATTGTCTTCATGTTTCAAATGATCAGTGATTTGTTGTAAAGTCAACAAAAGTGACGACATATCTATTAAATTGGTGTCTAATTGATCCAACAGTTTGTCCATCACTTCATATGTATTTCAGATTTAACTAATACTAAATTTTTTATGATATTTACTAACATTGCAAACATGTGTTCAATATATTCAATATATTGTGTATTTGCTCTCAAAAGAGGTCACTATTTTGTGTGAAATATCAATATTAATATAATGTTAGACAAACTTATTAAATAGTTTGTAAATTTATGATAATTAGTTTAAATAAAGATAAATCATCACAAATGGTGGTTAACTATGATTACAGTATTATATGGTTAACTAAAAACGGTTACCTTTAGGGGCTTTGCTTTTAACATTATTGTCGCCTTCAATACAACACTGTATTAAATGCATTGATTTAACTATTAACGCGTGAAATGTACTAAATTTATTAAAATAAAAAAACAAATACTAATATAAATACATTAAAACATAGCAAACCACCATAACTTTCACCACATCTTAACCCCATCCCATCCCATCACCACTTCCTAACCTCACACACCCCACCCACCTAACCCCCAAACTAACCCAAATATAAAGGTATTATCAATATAATGGTATAACATATAAAAACAATATTAAAAGCGAAACCCCCTAATGTAACTAAAGCCCTAAAAACATTAAAGTAATATAAATTCAAATAATTTGGACAATTTAACAATATATTAACAAATAGACTATTTTGCAATTTTCAATGTTATTTCTATAGTATTAATACCTGTATATCAGTCAATGATAGTCAATGACTGCAATCAAGTAATTCACGCTATTATTAAAGGATAATTCAAATTAAAGTTAATTATATAACGATATATTGCTTTCAATGTTTAATAATGATGAACTCATTTATGTTTTTTATATTTCTATTGACTCTATTAGTGCACACCATTGATAGCAAAGAAGATTCAGATGATAATGACTTAATTGCATCTGAGGGGCAATTAGGGCATCAAACAGATTCTGATGAACAACAAGAGGAAAACACTACAACCGTTGACATTAACAGATTGCATGTGTCTAACCATCAGATGATATATCACAGACTCACTACTGATCCTAAAACTACAGACAGTCGACAAAAGTCAACGCATAAGACTACTGTAAGTCAAGACAGACAAACCACACAAACAACTAAAAGCTATGAGTTGTGGGGCCATAGCCTCTGGTTTTGGATTATTATCGTTATTATCGTCTTAGTTATCATTAAAATAATTCTTATTATTATTTGGTTTTTATTTTGTTGCTGTTGTGAGTAAAAAATACAATTAATTTATTAAACAAATTACTAAACAAATATAATTAAATCATTAATTTTTATATATATTAATTTTTTTTAATTTAGGGCCTTTTAATATATAAAATATTAACTATAAGTCAATTAAAAAACTATTTCTGCTTAAATTATTTATCATTTAATTTGTACAAACTTTTAGAATATGTAATAATAAAATTATTTATAAGACATAATGTTATTTTAGATTTTGTATTAAATATAGCATATTTTCAAATATGTAAATGTCTATAAATTATATTTTTAATATTTATTACTTACAAATTATTAGTATTGTAAATATTAATATATAAATTTATATTATATAGTTAATATATGTATTACGGTATTATAATTTGTATAAACAAATTATATAATAAAGTAAAATGCAATTGAAGTGTTTTTTGTGTTAACTCCAAAATATAAAATTTGTTTTATTTATTTATTTTCTTATAAATAAAATATTTATTTTGTAATACAGTAGCTTCGGATTATTTATTTATTTAATATACTGTTATATTAAAAATCAAATATTAATAAATTTTATACTGTAAATTGTAATTTTATAATACATTATATTGTTAAATAATATTTTGTATATTATAGAATTATAGTTATGAAAATCTATATTTGCTTATAATACAATTTTTATACTTATCATTTTGATTGATTAGTCAATTATTGATTTGTCCATTTAATATACATTATTAGACCATCTATTTTATTACAGTCAATAAAAATTTTGCAGAATAACATTTTTATATGAAAAACATATTTTTTATTCAAAATTGAAAAATTATTTTTTATTTTTTAGCAATTTATTTTCACAAATTGTCAAATTTTTATGTAATAGTTATGGTTTTGAGCACTCATATGGATAAGCATAGAATAATGAAAAAAACTTTTCATTGATAATGTTATTTAAATTGCCTAAAATCATGTATAGACGCCTTTTTGGTTATCAATTATAACACATTTATACATTATTAAAAAATCAATTTAAATGTAAATACTTGATAATAACAATATTTTTTATTAATCCATTGAGTTTAAATTAATACTAATTATACTGTATTTCTAATTTTATTTTGATAACTTATTAAACTAAATGTCATTTTATAGATAACTTGATTGAAATTATTTGATTTTTAAACATAAATCAATATACAGTAGTATATAATTGAATTATTGATTGATAATTGAATTACTGAAACTATTTTTTTAAATCATAAAACTTTAAAATATAAATAGTTTGAAAATAGTCTAATGTAAGTGAATAACTAATTGTGATGTTTTATATTCAATAGTTGTCATATATTATGTATTATATATTATACTGTATTCTATATATCATAAATTATATTTCGATATATTATAAATTATATAAATTTCATTTTATTGTAGACGTTGACAGAGTTTTTGACAAAATCTGATTAATTATTATAAATGATTTGTTAATGTTTTTTAACAAAATCTTTTATTTCTTTAATTTATTTTCCGTACTATTAATTTAATAGTTATTATACTGTATATCATTACATTGATATGATGTATGTTAATGTTTATATTTAATTGTTTTAAATTCATTATTAAACTATTAGAGTAAATGTGATATTGTTTTCACAGACAATAATTAATTTTTATTTACTTTAACTAAAGTTGACTAAAGTATTGATATAATATAAATAAACATTACTTTCTTTTATTAAAGTTGACTAACTTTTAATGATTTAATTTTGATTTTAATTTGTAATGTTTGCAATAAACTGTGTGTAATGAGTAAAATCATAAATGTTATACTGTATGTCAACATTATTATCACGTAATACAGTATTACTTTAGCCATATATAAAATTAGTAACAAAATAGGTGAGTTTAGTTTTTTAAAATAAATTTTATTTGGGATTAAAATTAAATAATAATATTTAATTAACAACAATTGTTTTGTTTCATTGGTTTTATTGCTTTCAATTTATATACACTGATATTTTAGTACAGAGAGGTATGATATCTCAGAAACAATTAGAACTAGTTATTAAAAATAATATTGTTTTATATAATACTTACATTTTTTATTAAATAAAATAGTTTTTGAATATTGTTTCATATAAAATAAAAGTGAAAAAGTATATCAGTATAAAAGTGAAATACTTTTTATGTATTTTATATTTCAAATAAAACATTAGCTATTTATTTATATAGTTTTAGAATTATTAACAAAAGTAATATTTCTAATAATAATAATAATTATTGATATTATTTAATAAATTATAATTTTGTCAATATTTTTAAAAACCTAATATGCAAGTTAATTAAAACAAGTGAAATGACAATATACTCTATTATTTTTATTTTATGATGCTAAAATTTAAATTTTTATAATAAATGCCATAAGTATTTAATTATTTTTAATTTTAATTTTACATAATTTTGAATATATTTCTGAGATATATTAATTTAGAATCTAAATTTTAGATAAATATACCAGTTCCCAAATAATTTTAAATATTAAAATTAATATATTCTAACAAACAATAGTTGCAAATAAGTAATTATTTTTAAATAAAATTTCTAAAATTTAAAATATAAGTATCATAAATAAGTTTTGTTGGTTCTTTTAACTTTTATTAGATTAATTATAGTATTTTTAAGATAAATTATACCTTAAAAACGAGACTCACCTATTTATCGACAGATTTATATAATTTTAATTATTTTAACCAATGACTCAGTTTGTGTTGTATTAAGTTTGACGTATCCTTTAAATGAATATTATTTAAACTCAAGACTTTAAATAAAGTTCAGTAAAATATTTCAGATATTAATATAATATAATTGTAATTAAATTGTAATTAAATAAAAAATTTATTTTATAAAAATTGTTTTTTTTTAAATACTGTTAAATCATAACTTATTGTTAGAGACGATATTCTTAATGTCTGTCACTGAGAACAAAGCGCCCACTTTTGGCACTTCTGCCGATCCAAGGGTTGACTTCTTCTTCCATATCATAGAAGACGCACAAAAAGACAAGACATTAGATCTGCTGATAAAGTCATGGGATTGCCATTCGTTGGATACTTTGAAACTGATGGCTCATATGAGGGATTGTCGTAATGGGAAAGGCATTCGCAGACAATATCACATGTGTTTGGTTTGGCTTTTCAACAATCAGTTCCCAACACTAATGGCTAATCTTAAAGAATTGGTTTCATTTGGTTATTGGAAAGATTTGCTTAATTTGCTTATGATTTTACTGTTTGACGGACACATTCCCGAGTATATGGCCAAAGATGATGGAAAAAGAAGTAAAAGATCCGTTAGTCAAATGTCGAAACAGAATAACAAATCCGTATTTCCATTGTATGATAGACTGGTTTTGAGAGGTCTTAGAAAAGAAAGACAAAAACTAAAGAAAGAGATGAAAGTTGTCATCAAAAAGACTAAATTTGATGAATCGTTAACTGAAATTCAAACAAAAAACGATGAATCGGCTGATTATAAAATGACACCAACTGTGCCAACCAGAGCACAGGCTCTGCAAATGAGTCGAAAGATTTTTTTGCAACAACGCTACCAAACGGATGACAAATATAGCAAAGTTTATGATAAAATTGTTGATTTATTTGCTAATCAATTGAAGATTGATTTGGAGAAAATGGCAAAAGATATTAAATCAATATCATTGGCCGGGAAGTGGGCGCCAACTAATGCCCATCACTTCGATAAATATCTTTCAATTAGTTTACCGATTGGCAAACGTTTGTGTCAACTGACGAATAAACTCGAATTGAAAGACAAACCGAAAGATATTTCAGAGTTTTATCAGAAGGAAGTTTGTGCTCCGATTCGCAAATATCTAAAGATTCCCGAAGTCTTTATGGCTTCAAATCAGTGGTCAGACATCGACTATAGTCGAGTCGCTTCCAAATGTATGCAAAAGAATAAGTCTGTGTTTATTAAATACGATAAACAAAGATTTGAAGAATACTTAAAATCAAAGGAAACCATTGCCGGTGCTGTTCTTAAACCCGTCGAACTCGTGGATAGGGGTCGGGAGTACATGAATATTGGTTTCAACAAAGAAGAAGATAATATTGAACAACAAGTAATTGAAAAACAATGGCTTAGTCTTTGTGAAGACATTAAAAAGAAAGGTATTTTTAAAATTATATTATGTTTTACATTTAATAGCAAATTATTTAATCAGGTGGAGGTCTCTTTGATAATGCCATTGCTGTTTGTGATGTCAGCGGATCCATGAATGGCACACCAATGGATGCGGCCATTGGTCTCACACTTCTAGTAATGTATTTATCGGCCGAACCGTGGAATTCACTCTGTATTACATTCTCTGAGAAATCAGAATTTCATTTCGTTGACAAAGACAAGACATTTATTGAGAAATTGTCATCACTTCAGACAATGAATTGGGGATATAATACAAACTTTAACTCAGTTTTCAATTTGATTTTAAACAAAGCGGTCGAACAGCGCCTCACAAACGATCAGTTGCCTAAAGTGTTGATTGTGTTCACAGACATGGAGTTTGATGTAGCCTTTCGTGACGCTAATCAAACTAACTATGAAATGGCCAAAAAACAGTTTGAAAAAAGAGGCTATAAATTGCCTCCAATTATATTCTGGAATCTCAGGTCAGATAAGACATCGATGTCAACACCCGTCCAAATGAACGAAATGGGAACCGCATTACTGTCCGGATATTCGGGTCAACTCTTATCTCTTATTTTAAAAGCCGATGACTTGGAAAATATAACCCCATATTCAATGATGCGGTCGGCTATCGATAACAAACGTTACTCTAAACTTAAAGTAATTTAAAAATACTACAGTAATGATTCACTATTGAAGTTATTTTCACAAATTGATTGTTACCTAAAAATTATTCTCAAATTATATTATTAGATAAAAAACAAATTTGAATTAAATTTAATATATATTTGATATCTACAGTATATGCTATTAAAATTTAAATTGTCTTTAATAAGACTATTTTTGCCAAATTTGCAAAATATTATAATAAATGAATAAAATTCAAAGATTATTAACGTTATTACTAAATAAATTTTGTTAATTTAAAATTTGTATTTTTTTATTCATAATATTTTATTATTTTATAAAATTATATATTTAATGCAAACAATTGTTTTCTATAATGTCATCAAAATACAGTATATAGAGTACTGTTATATAAACAGTTCAATATATCATTGCAGTTACTTATGGCAGCCATAAAATTGTCTTTAATTACTGTACATGAATTAGTCGCCAATGAAAATAACATCTTTGATAAAGTCTTCAATAATTGTGAAAAAATGTTTTTTAGTTTTATATAATTTTTTTTGAAAACTATGAATAATAGAACAAAAAGTATATATTTAATACAAAAAAGACTTCAAATACGACTCAAAACATGATATTTATATAAAATAAATTTTTTATATATTTATTTATGTATTAAAGTTTGAAAGAAATTCTGACATTCAATTCAAAGTCAATGAAGTCGTCGCCAGAAATCTGCGACCAAACGAGTCATCGACACAACAAAAAATTTAAGTCTTATTAAAGTCAAAGATAACAACAATTGAAACCACAATTCACTTAATACTAAGTCTTTTGAAATCTCTATTTCTTATTCTTCTTTCAATTGGAATCACTTCTTCTTTGTCTTTACTATCAGAAAAAAAACATTTGAATATTAAGTTTGTTAACAACAAGTCTCTCATCTTTTATAATATAGATTACATTAATTTTATCCAAAATGTCTTTCTTTTATTACAAAAAAAAACCAAAAAAGATGAGAAACAAAGTGTTGTTGTATTTAATTATAATTCTTATATGTAATACATTTTATGTCTAACACCAGTAATTTAGTATAACTTCTTGTCGTCAATAATATTGAAAATTAGTTTATATGAGTTGACATCGGTTTCACAGTTACTTCAGTCTTATTGGTCACTATTTATATATTTATGTCTTACATAAAAACATATGTAAGTTGTCTATTGGAAAACAGTATCAAATAATTCACAATTTTCTGAGAGATAGAAATAATACATTTAAAGCTATTTTTAAAACATGAATAAACAGTTTATTTATAACTATTTGTCGAAATTAAACTAATTCATGAATACATGAGTATAGTTTATAAATTAATAATTTTTAAATGATATTATGTGAAAGTATGTGTAAATAAAATAACCTATAATATGAAAATAACAATTTGTTAAATTTAATTATCAATTTATAGCATTATTTTATATGTTCACAACCATAATATATCCAAATTTAGTTTAATTAAGTAAACATTAAATTCATGTTTTATTAATACCATATGAAAATAATTAAATAAACACACAATAAAATTTATTATCCACTCTTAATTGAATTGAATTTTATTTATATTGATAATGCTAAATTTTAGTATAATTTTTTGCATCTATATTTTATTAGGATTTGAACTTTATTATAAAGATTTAGTCATGTCCTGATTTTATCAATTAATGTTTATTACTAATAAACATTTAATAATATTAACATATAATTATTTTAATATTGTAATATTATAATTTAATAATATTCGTGGCATTTATTACATTATAAATAACAAAAATTTATAAACATTCAAAATTAAACAAATAAACTAATAATTATTATATAACATATATAAATTTTTAAACTCCCTCTCTGGTAATGTTATTAAAAATATTTCACTAGAATTTATCAATTATATCATAATAGCTGATAATTACTTTGTAATTGTAAATACATGTAAAAATAACTTAAGTAAAAATATATATATATAATTAATATCTCATACCAATTACTATATTTGAATAATAGCAACTGTTATAAGTATTTAAAAATCCATATACCATATATCAATAAATTAAATTAAAATATTAATTACATTATCATAAAATAATGAAAAATAAATTACTCAAAATTGTGTATATATTTAGTATACTGTATATTCAGTATCTTTCTTAAAATAATTTTCAATGATTACAACTCAAAGTTAAGAATATAATCATTTAGTGTAAAGAGTATGTACTGTATGTTTAGGTTAAACAATAAATTGATTAAACATAGAGTTGAGACAACTTTCATTTCATTTACTCATTTAAATTCTTATGATATTTGATAATAATATATGATATATAAAACCGTTTGAATAATTATGAGTACATTTGATTGACATATAAGCGACACATTAATATATTTTCATCATTCAGTTCACTGAATGTGTCGCATAAAACCTAACAAATTTGCATATTTTTATAATAAAATAATGATTATATTCTAAAGTTTATACTATAGAATCAGTCAAATTCCTAGTAAATTACAATAAATTAATTAAAAATATATAATGAATTTGAATAATTTAGTGAATAAAAAATTATAGAATTTAAATAAACTTTTATTATATATTTAATATTATAATTTAAGTGATGTTTTATTTTTGTGATAAAGGATAGTTTATTTTTCTTTATCACATTAAACTAAGACAATTAAAATTTATTTTTAATTACGTAAATTATAGATTAATTATTTAAAACAAATAAAAGTAATTATAATAAAATAGATTTAGATATAGAAGATAATTAATATATTTTTCAATTATAAATAAGTTACATTTTTAGTCTTTAAAATAAATTATATTATAAATATAATGTACATTTTTGTCAATTATTTATTTTTATGTTAACTTTAATTTAATTTTAATCTTTCAATAAACTTATATTATTTTCATAAGTTATATAAAAATTATAATATTATGAAATTAAATCTATAAAATTTTTTATTAATTTATCATTTGGTTAATATATTTGTTATTAAAAATTGTCGCTTTTATTGGCAAATGTCAATCATTTAGTAGTTTAATCAATCGTAACATTAGTATAATCAGTGAAACGACGCGAATCTCAATAAGAAAGAGAAGTCAATAATCTTGAGCTCTGTTTCTATATATTATACAATACTATACTATATATTAATACTATTATATGTTATGCCATTCTTCGCATTCAATGATTTGTTTGAGAAATGAGTTACCACTGTATAACTGAAATGATAGGGAAAACCTAAAACATAGGCATACATACACTCACACAAATGACAGACAGACGGACAGACAGATAGACAAACAGATTGACAAACAGACACGCAGACAGACAGACAGAAAGAGAGAGAGAGAGAGAGAGAGTACAGTTAGATTTTGATAGCCTTATCCATTGGCATCGCTATAAGTCAATGATAGACTCGTCTGTATCCGCGAAGCTCAAGGATTTGATGGAAATAGGAGGCGGCGATCGTCGTGTATATTGTGTTATATATTGCTGTTCATAGCACAGCAATGGTGGTAACTGTGCCGGTGAGACAATGCTCTACTCACACAAGTGGTGGCAATCACTTAATAGTGGGACAACAATCCTGTTAATGATAGACCAGTTCAGCACACATGTTGGCCGAGCCCTGTCCGCCGCCGCTCCCGACGTTGTCTGTATTGAGAGAAAAGGTCCGACACATCTTCTTCTCAAACATGTTGTGTTGTGGACGTAAAAAGGTCTGTCCAATACTTAACATCTTTGATAATATTATATTAATATCTAAAAATTATTATTCATTTTATTAAATAATTGAATAACTCATTTGTCAATCAGTTTAATTAATACAGTATTTACATAATTTTATTACATTATTATTATTATATTTGTTGCTTAATATAAATACCGTTTATTATTTTGCAAAAAAATTACATTACTATTATATTAAATTAATAATTTATTTTATTGAAATATGATTAGGGATCACGAGATGTGAGGGGACAGCATATAATAGGTGAGGGCAGTGCCGGTGTATACACGAATTTGGCACACCATCATCACCATCAACCAGCTGTAAATGCCACACATTTTAGGAAAGCCATACAACCTACCAATGTTTATCACAGCCAACAGTTGCCATTGAGATCACGTATGCCTGAAATGGTAGTTCAAAGTGATTTCCGCAAAGTTAGTGGCATTACATCCGAAGTGTTCCGACAAATAGAGGCCGTCGAGAATGACTTCGACTCGACGACCGCCGCATACTTCGAATCAGTCGAGAAAAGAGGAGAAATGGTTATCCGTCTCCTTAATCCTCATTCACTGGGAAGGGCTGGCATTGATGCTCATCGTCGGTATGCAAATACTTCAGGCGGAAACACACAGTTTGTTGAGATCATTAAAAGGCCGGGACAGACATTAGGACTATATATACGTGAAGGCGATGGATATCGATGTAGTGATGGTGTCTTTATATCCCGTATTGCATTAGAAAGTGCTATATATAACAGTGGTTTACTTAAAGTGGGTGACGAGGTATTAGCAGTTAATTTAGTGGATGTGCGTCGCATGTCTTTAGACGATGTAGTCATCATTATGTCGATTCCCAGAAGACTTGTGTTAACCATCCGTTCCCACATATATTCGGGAAGTCAATCGGCAATAATGGCCAGAAAATCATTAAGTAATGATTACCGAAACCCTCCGATAGTTGTGGTCAAGACTGAGGTAGAAGATGAAACATTTGATGACAGCATTCATCGCGACACAGAAAACGGTCACTTAATGCAGGCCAGACTTAAAGGATTGCCCGATAATATTCCAGCCACGGCTGTGCCTTTAGATGGCCACCAATATAGAGCATTACCTCCTCGTCCCGGTATAGATGATCAGGTGCTTCATTATAATCAACAACCGTTACAATTAAGAACATCTATGTCTGGCATATATGAAAATCCGGTGCAAATGAGAGAAGACGCGTGGAATGAACAGCAAAGGACAGGTATGTCTCGACATTACGGCAGTATTGTTACACAACAACCAAATTTGTTGCGTCGACATTATCCACGAACTGCTGATAATCTCTGGGAATGTGTCTATTCATCGGGATATACATCAGATGTGCCGCTAACATCTTCATCACGCCGTAGTGGATCATTAGGTGTAACCCGTGCTGCCATTCATAGACCTCCATCTAATGCTCCTCAGCGGTATTGGGAGGACTATGCTATGGCCGGTAGTATTGCTAGTAGTGATCCATTAAGAAGACGAAGACTGTTAAGGACAGAGAGTGATCACGCAATACCCCCGACAATGTCTGATGACTTTCTCGACAGATATCTTCGACCATCGAGCAGATCAAGTGTGTCAGCCGGATATCCTTCAAAAGCTTCTATGCAAGACTTGAAGTTCAGACGATTAGACGAACTAAGAAATCAATTGACAGCAAATCAGGCCATTAATAATATGTTAAGACGTAGGGCTTATTATGATGGAAGTGCTTCAGACACTGAGGCCAGTTCTGGACCCTCTCAGTACTTACTAAGACAACGAAGCTTAGGGTCATATTCTCGAATGACTAGAGGAGGGGGCGGTTCGAGGGATTCATTTCAACTGAGAAGTAGTTCACTTCCACGCACTCGACCCATACATAGTGACTATCAATATTTACGACCACAAACAAGACGCCCTCCCAAACAAACTGTTCGCTTTGAAAGACCTCCTATTGGTTATGATGAGGATAGTGATGGTGCTGTGTCTGCACCAGAATTGCCGGCCAATCGATCGCGAAGATACGGTATTTTATTTTTATTAAATTTAATTTAATTAATATAAATATAATGTTTAAATAAATACAATAATTTCATTATAAATTATAGTAATTTTTAATAATTTAAGATAAAACTGACACTTAATTATATTAAATAATTTATAGGTCGGCGCACGGTTTCACCAAATAATTACTCGTCAAATGACTACCAGAGATGGATGGTTAGGGCGCCGTCCACTTCAGCTATTTATGAATGTGTGCGCAAAGGAAAGCAAATCCCTTTGAGCTCCGATTCAATCACCAAAATCGCTGTTTCGGCGGAAAGTCTTCTCGACACAATACGATCGGTCAGTTTTTTTGAGACAATTTTTATCTAAACTTTTATAATATAATATAATTATTATTTGCATTACAATAACGACTAACATCTATACATCTATAAAGCTTACAAATACTATTTAAATGTTAATTTTTAAGTCAATAACATTACAAATATAATATGAATTATATATTTATTAGGAACAGAAGCGAACACTTTTGGCTGATTTATATGCAAGTCGTGCAGCAATTCTCGGAAAGACATCACAACTGCTTCCCATTAAACGCGATGAGTCTAACCGATCGCTTACCAAAACTCCGATACTATCACATAATATAGGAGTGGACTACTTGAGAGCATCTATACCTAATCCGACACCAGTGAAACCCAGTGATGACAGTCGACTTAATTTGGTGACATTAAATCCGCGCGAATTCTTTAAGTATAGACCTGAGAAGCCGGACCGTGGACTTCAAAGTAGTGATGGTTTTAGTGGACTATTAAATGTGCATTTATTGGCAGGACGTGGCCTACGGGCCAGTACTGGACATGTGAGTGAACACTATAGGGACGTGTATTGTGTCATTGAATGCGATCGCATACATAAAGCTCGGACTGTTGTCCGAAGCGGTGAACAGAGCTTTGATTGGGACGAAGTGTTTGATTTAGATTTATTTGACACAAAAGAAATTGCATTTTTATTATACACTTGGGATCCACAGTTCAGACATAAACTCTGTTATAAAGGAATACTATATTTGTCTTCATTATCATTGAATGAAACTCCAGCCCATAGTTTGGCTTTAAAGTTGGAGCCCAGAGGGACACTGTATGTCAAACTTAGATATAAAGATCTTCAGTCAACATTCCAAAGAACAGTTATCAGTCCCATCGGTCAGACAGCGAATGCCGTCTTTGGTGTTGATCTCGAAACTGTTGTCAATCGTGAAAATTCTGGACTCAATGTACCGATAATTATTAAACGATGTGTCGATGAAATTGAAAAAAGAGGAAAAGATTTGCCGGGAATTTATAGGTTATGCGGGTCTTCGGTTCGCAAGAAAATGCTTAGAGACAACTTCGAGAGGAATGCGTGGCTCACGGATCTCAGTCCCGAACATATGCCCGACATTAATGTCATCGCAAGTGAGTTATCAAACATTTCTTTACTTTTAAAAAAATATTTTTTGGGTTTTAAGATATAATATAAACCTAATATTTATTAATTATATATAAATTATTACCAATATTTTGAGCCAAAATTTATTTTTATGTATCGATAAAATAAGAGTTTTCCGATACAGTATACTAATGTCTATTAACTTAATAGTATTAAAAGTTGTTTAATTGAAGTGATTTTTAACTTTAAAAATATAATTTTAGTAAAAAAGATTATACTTTGATAATCTTATGTATAATTATGGTTTTTGTAATAACTAAAGTATTTATATTAATTACACTATAAACTTAAATATTTATTTACATTTGTTACTAATTACTGCATTTCAATTTTTTTTTGGAAATTTTTATTAAATATCTAATAATTTAGAATAATGTCGATATTATTAGATTATGTGTTAATAATAATAATAATAATATCAATTAAAAATAATAATTTTAATTATCTATAAAATAGTTTTAATATTTACTAGTAATTTCAGCAATAGAAATAAAATTTCCAAAATTTAATATTTATTTGAGTCAAAATACAAACCCATAGCGTATATAACTTAGTATACCTGAATAACTGATAAAAAGAGCTATCATTTAAGTTTGACATCTCAAACAAATTACAGTCAGTCTAATGATTTGAAACATATTGTTAATATTGTTCACAATTTATATTTATAAGGTTTTTATTAAAGTTTTATAGTATATAGAGACTGACATAAGATTTTATTATTTTGACATTTTATTTTGTATTAAATAAATAAATTAATAAATTAATAGTATTCGTCTCAATTGATTTAATTGATTAATTTAATAATAAAAATGAGTGAATTTATTAGTCAAGATAGAGGCCATGAATTCTTGAGTCAAAATATAAATTCAATGATTGCAATGCGAAAGAGGTCTCATACCTTTCCGTCCGCCGCTTCGGCTATCGATTTGAGTGATTGTGACGACTGTCTGAGCGATATTAATAGCTCTTGTGGTGAAACTAATTGTCATCTGAATGCCAGTAATGATAGCGCATTCTCATCGCCACAACTGTTAAAAGTTAAATATAAGACATTAGAGGAAGAGAGCAGTAGATCTGCTAAAGAATCAAATGGAGATAAATGGACGAAACAATTAATTGGATCACCGAAGACATCCATTACACACAACACAATGAATCAATCGATTTCTCCGATACCTTCTCACCAATTGATAACCAATATTCCTTCTCCAATAATGTCTCCGTTCTTAAGCCCTTTTCTACCATTGCGTTCATATGTTGGAGGTCTTATTAGTCCGTTTTCAAGTCCGATGTATCATAATTATCCGAGTCCTGCATTTAACACAATATCAAATCAGGACCGAGTCATAGAGTCGGCAAAATCACACCGAAATGCCGCAACTCATGCAGATCCACGACACACATGGTCTGGTATATTGCCGACAACTAACAGTCAAAAAATTCCCGTCTATTCGTGTAAAGTATTTTTAGGTGGAGTTCCCTGGGAAATGACTGATCACGACATCAAACTGATGTTTTCTCGTTTCGGAAACGTGCAAATCCTACGGCCCGGTCAACACGTGAAACTGTCCCGTTCGAGTCAGAACAAAGATAAAGCGGGATATCTGTATCTCATCTTTGAATCAGACAAACAGGTTAAGGCTTTATTGAATGCCTGTATCCATGATTTTAGTAATGGCGGGAAATACTATTTCGCGCTCAACAATACCCGTTATCGACCAAAAGATATTCAAATAATTCCCTGGAATGTGAACGACACAACTTATGTGAAGAACCCATCGGCAAGAGTTGACGCAAATAAGACAGTATTTGTCGGCGCTCTTCACGGAATGTTAACCGCTGAAGGTTTGGCCACTATTTTAGAAGACTTATTTGGAGGAGTAGTCTATGTGGGCATTGATACCGATAAATATAAGTATCCAATAGGATCGGGAAGAGTAACTTTCCAAACAACCAAATCCTATACGAAAGCAGTTCAGGCGGCTTTCATTGATGTCAAATCCGCCCGATTCCAGAAAAAGGTATTTCTCTTTATATAAAAAACAAGTGTTTTGATAACTAATGCTTTGATAACTTATGTTTAACTAAAGGTTCAAATTGATCCGTTTCTTGAAGACAGCAATTGTAGTAATTGTCGCACAGAAAAAGGTCCCATTTTTTGTCGCGATGTTTGTATGACTTACTTTTGTCGCAACTGTTGGGACGGTATTCACGCAACGGAAGGCATGAGAGGCCATCAGCCTATTATGCGAACCAAAAACAAAGTCTAATTGTTTATTATTGTCTATTATTGTCTTGGATTTATTACTTATATATCTTTATTTTTATATTAATATAACTTAATACGATTTTATTAATAATAAGTATATTTAAAAATTAAAAAACTAATTAAAATAAATTATAGTAAATTTTGGCTCAATTTTATATGCAAAAAGTATTTCATTATTAAATTGAGTATTACTTCTAATGCATTTATTTTGGATTTTAAAATTATTAAAATTGAAATATGCAAAACAAATATTTTATATATCAATAATATATTATAGATTTTTTTGTTCAAATAAAATATATTAAATATAATATTAAATAATATAATATAGTATACAATTATTGTAGATTCAATACTTAATATATACCAGTAAATATCAAATAAATTTCTATATTTATTAAAGGCTTACTTAAGGACTATATCCGTGAACTACCGGAGCCATTATTTACTAAAGCACTGTTTGATATGATGGACGATGGCGTGAGTGTATGTCTGGCCGATGACCCGACCGGTAACGTGAAACTCATGTTTTCAATCCTTGAATGTCTGCCAAAGATCAATAGGGTTTGTATTGTATAGTAAACACTAATCTACTAATCATTATTTGTTTGTTTTATAATCTGTTAACTTAACGCATATCTCATGTAATATGTTATGTCATATCAATATAGTGTACGGTCTTGTATTTGATGGATCACTTGAAGAAGATTATGAGTCATTCAGATAGGAATAAGATGTCATCTCAAGCCATTGCCATCTGTTTTGGACCACTTTTTACGTGTCATTCAGAAAGTGAAAACCTTCACAAACCGATTGAAATTTTCAAGTTTTTGCTCGTTATTTGGCCTAAAAGGAGAAGTAATGAAGTGATTATAATTGAATAAAAATATGATATATTAGTAATTTTCATATCATTGGATATATCTATAGCTTCAAAAAGTGGAAGCAGTGATATAACATCTGTGAGTAAAGGATCTGTGGTTTCAAATCAAGATTCTTCACTATCATTAATGCCATCGCATACTATCTCATTATTAAGTCAATCCAATACCATTGCTACGACCGCAACAACTATTACATCGTCATCGATGGTCATAAGCAGTCATTTGCCACCCGTAAGCATCCCATCGACTTCTGCAAATATGTTACCGCCGACATCAGCTCTCACACCCGGGCCCTCACCAACAGCCTTAACAATAGAAGAAACGCCTACAACGGGTGCTATTATAGCATCGACAACATCATCGGTAACAACAACACCATTTGCAGCCACAACGACAACAACAACAAAATTAAGTTCTGCGACGGGTTTAAGCAATGAACCTGATTTTGGACATCAGGTAAGCGCTAGTTCTATGATGACCACGATATCCAAAAAGAGTGTGGCATTTGCTCAACCAAATGATCATAAGAATAATAATAATAATGGAACCGGTAGTGGAAGTGGTTATGTTAGCGGTACTGGTTCTGGTCAGTGTCGGGCACTTCCCTTTCCACCATCTAATTGCTAGCATTGACGATTGATCCACAATATTGTCTATTTAGTGATTGTTATTTGTTATAATTGTTGTGACCAACTAATACACCAATGAAATCTCACTCTAGAAGTCTATCAAAAATAAAACATTGTGTAAACTCTCTATTGTTTTTAATTTGTGATAAAACACGTAAAACCACTCAACTTATAGATTTAAGAAGTACTTCAGCGATCATTTGTTTTCATTTGATATATTGAAAAATTAACAGAAATTGAATAATAAAAATTGAAATAAATTCATATAAATTAATATAAATGAAAGACAACTATTTACTAGTTTTTATATAGTAATAGTGTGAACACACAACTAAATTCACAACTAAATTATTGTCTAATTATTACTTAATTTATTACTTGATTTTGATGGACAACTACTACATCCATACATCACTTACTTCATACACATCCACCTTATGACTAGTCATTGAATTAATTGTCAAAAAAATACTTAATTAAATCGTACCAAAAATCAATGTTTTAAAAAATAAATACAAATTTATACGAAACTATTACTATTGAACCATAATATTACCACAAAAAAACTAATTTTAACATTGTTAATAATTAAATACATTTTGTGCACATTATTAATAACATAACCGATGAAAATCTAACTTTCAATAATAAGTTAATAGTAAATATGATATTATTTTAAACAGTAAATCAGTTATTTATTGATTAATGTGATTCTCAATTGAATATAAATGATCTCTCATACAGAAGTATATAATTTTATCAAATCTATATAATTTAATTGTTATATTGCTATAAAAACCGATTTATTAATTTTATAGAAAATTTTAGTGTTAGACAAGTTATTTCTTGAATATTTAGTTATAAGTTTTATAATAAAAAACAATGTACAGTATAGTACCTCATTGTATAACTATTATATATTATTAATATTATATTATTCAGAAATAATACACAAAAATATATTGTTTACAGTTGTAATAAATATTCAATATTATATTAAGTCTAATTAAATAATCTATATATTTATTAATTTTTATTTTGTTTATGTGATACCATATCATATCATTCAATGGTGAGAATCGTTTTCTGGGAACACTTAGTTATGTATATAATTGTTAATTAATGATCTTTAGTGGAAATCTAATATAATATAAAAATTATAATTATTGTTTAAATTGACTATAATTATATAAAAAACATAAAATCAATTGTTTTACTCATAAAATATTGTCTTTAGATGATTATTTAATATAAACGCGACTCATCTGATAATTAACTGTAATATCATTATATAACTACTAAAACAAAATAATTATTAATATGTAATGATTATTATAACTATTGTGAATATTTATTAAAACAATTAATTACTATTTAATTAGACTGTGAGTTAATATAGCTAAAAACATAATATACAGTACAGTATAATAGATTGTGATTAAAAATAATAAAATTGTTAATTTAAGATTACATTATACTGTATTTGCATTTTATAACAAACATGCATTATAAATGACATTAATTATTAAAATCGTTTTTTTAAATTGAAAACAATTTTTATGTTTATTTCATTATATAAATTAAATGCACTGCCAATTATTAAATTAATTTTCAATAAATTAATTGTGATTTGAAATCTAATAAACTCTATTATTTATATAAATTATATATAATAAACATTTTAAAAATAATTATAATCGTCTAAAGATGCTTATAAAACATAAAAATGTAAATTTTATTTTTAATTTACTTTTGTTTTTTATATAAAGATTGTAAAAAATCATAATTGTTATCCAAATAAAATATAAATAGAGTAAAAACGTCTAATAATATTAATATTATATTTTAGAAACTTATAGTAATATTAATATTAATTTAACAGATTTTAATAAATAATAAATTCTTTAGATTTTATTATTAAAAAATATTGTAATAACAATTATTATTTCTAAATCTTAATTTAATGTTTATCATTATCAATATTTATAAATTTATTTAATTGATTTAATTTTTTTTAATCTTAAATTTAATTAAATTAGTTAGTAGAAGTAATCTTTTTAACATTGAATTTATTTTTAATATTTGATTTAAATTACAATTTTGTGAAAATTGCTAATTTTTATTTTTAAAACTAACTATTAATCATATAATAAACAGTAAATTTATTATATTAGTACAAAAAATATTTTTGTTTAATTTTCAATATAATTATTTATATATCAAATATATATACTCAAATAACCATTATATGACATCTATTTGTTTTATTTATAAAAAAAAGTTAAGCTGATATTAATTTAAATATAAATTTTATTTATATTTTGTTATAAAGTCTATTTAAAAGTTTTAAGTAATGAGTTTGAATATTATTATAAAATGTCAAAAAAATAATTTATCTCACACTGAGTTAGTGACCATAAATTATAGCATCACTTGAAAAGCAGTAAACATTTATTTAATAAATTATCAGATAATTTAAATATATTTAAAAATATATGCTTTTATATAAAATATAATATAATATATAATTTAGTCTAAAATTTAGTTGAAAAACAATTAAAATTTTGCATTACTTAAAAATAAAACACAAATTAGTAACTGATATTTATAATTATATTTTTTAAATTATAAAAGAATAGAAACAAAATATATTTTACAATTATTTATTTTCTAATAAAATAATGTCAAAAATCACAAAAATATATTTAATTAGTTTAATTGTTATTTAATAAAATTGTTGTATAATTTGTATATTCAAATGTACAATAAATAAGTGTAACAAACGTTTAAAAATATCTAACACTGCAATTTTAAATTAAAGTGATAAAACATGATTATATTTATATTAATAGTATACACTGTATATATTATTTCATATTTAATATATATATACAGTATATATTACTATACATTAACTGTATACATTACTAAATCTAAAATAATTGTGTTAATAAAAATTATATTTACTCTGTATACTGTATAGTAAATACAGTATATATATTTTTAAATATAAAATAATATATACTTTATATTAAAATTAGGTGATTCAGTAAAATATCAGTGAACGCATTGTGAAAATCTGAAAAATTATTCAACTAAATCATAATTTTAAATACGAAAAAACTTTATTATTATTATTAGAGTGATTACTGGTATCATAGACTCAATAACCAAAGATCAAAATGTTGTAAAAAGTGAAATCATATTTTTAGAAATTAGTATTTCTAAAGCTTTATTTCATATATTGTTTTGTTTGCAATACTAATGGCAATCATTATATACTTGTGTTGACTTTAAATAAATACTTTCTAATTAATAAATAATTGAGTTTACAGTCAATTTAAGATAGTTAATCCATTTGTTATTTTTGACTTTTTATATATATTTTTAGTTTTATAGTTTTAAATATTATTATTAATAATAGTAAAGTAAATTAGTTAATAAGTAAGTTTTATATTGAATTATAAGTAATAGTCAAAATTATATACTGTATTTTATTTATTCAATTTATCATTACTGACAATAATTGCAAATTATGTCTATTTCTTAATTTATATATCCGACTAAATTTTAATATAAATAATATAATTAACAATGTTTTATCGCAAAATGATTTATAACAAATATTATATAACACTTTATGGTTTTTACTGATGCCTTTAAAAAGCAAAAATTAATGAATAAATTGTATATAATATAGCCTTAAGTTATTGGTTTCCCTCAAAATTTTTATTTTAATTGAAAAGTTTTTTATTTTTGTTACAAATTTGTTACAAAACCGGTTCGAAAATATATATAAATTAAAATTCTCACAACAAAGTTGTAATTAATACTAACGATAACATTAATATTGCATTTAAGGTATATAATAATTAAGTTAAATTTAATATTAAGTTAAACACTCAAATGTATTGCAATTTTAATCGAGGATTTCATTGAAGCGAAACATTATTAGATTTATTTCACTGTTTTAGAAACGATTGTATGAATGAATGTAAGAGTGAGTGATTGAGAGAGAAAAAGAAGAAAGAAAGAGAGAGAGAGAGAGAGAGAGAGAGAGAGAGAGAGAGAGAGAGTTATTATTTTTATTATACAAAAACGACTATAATATTGTCAAATAAAGATATAATTTAAAGATTGCTAATCTATTTTATTTGACTATATTTTTGTTAATAATAAGGTGTAATTGTATATATTAAAAAAGTATTGTTAAATTGAAATCTTGATAGAAACGCTTGATATATGTTTCAAAGATTTTATATCTAATTATTATTTTATAAGTTTGAGTATAATTAAGTATTAATGAAAACTTAAAGTTAAGTAATATTTTTATAATTTGCTAATTTTTATTTTTTACGGTAAATAGTTTAACAAACTTAAGTTGTGGGAGTATTTACATATGTTTTTCATATATCGGAATCATTCACTTGTATTACCAAATATTATGGAAAAATTGAATAATAAATGCAATTGAAGTCAACCATCGACTGACTGGATGTTTAAATTCTCAGCAAATGATCTAATTTTGAATCAGAATTTTTGATGGCATCTAATCACACATTTTTATATAGTTTTCTATTTCATTGATATTTGTGATTACAAAAGTTATATACTCTTAACTTTAATAATGTTTATGTATTGTAAACTTTAATAGTGCTTACAAAATATTATTATCTTTAAGTTAATTTTAAAACAATAAGTTATTAAATTTAATTAATATAATCTCTATAAGAATTATTATGTCTTTTATATTATTTTTATTGTATATATATATATTGATTGATTCTAAAAATAATTAATATTATAATCTTATTATAACTGTAATATACAGTTATGTAGAAAACCAATTTCAAAGTTTTTATTTTCTTTTTAAAATATGATTTCATTTTGTACTAAATACTGTATAATTATATTTAAAACAAATGATAATAAAGATATATTTTATTTTATTTTGTTAAACTTTATTTTTCAGCATGGTAGTTTAAGCATTATTTTATAAAATATTTTTTTTAAATGTTTAATTTGATAAGTATCAGCATTTTACAAAATCTTCAACGTTTTCAAATATATATATTATTATTATTTCATATTAACATAATATTATGTAAAATTCTTTATCATATAATAGCAATTTGGATGCAAAACCTGGATGTAAAGGGCG